GGACTTAAATGTAAAATAGTGAATGTATGGTTCGTACTTTGTAACATGAGTAGAGTATGTGTATTCCGTAAATTTATTGTGTTGTTATTCTCTATGTGAGTCATTATAACCATGCTAATATGACGGAGTGTCTGTCTTGACGTTCTTCAGGCGTCGGTTACCGAGAAGACATTTGTCACCCTAGACCGGTCTGTCTAGCTGTAGCGAGCAGCTCATGTGTGGGGTGGTAACCCCGTATAGATCTATACACAGATTCTTGCTCTCCCACCAAGAGATTCTGGTTATAACTACAAGACTTTCTATGTACACTAGGTAGGTACGAGTGAAGGAGTGTCTTACAAGAGTCTTAACGAAATTTTACGAAAATAGTGTGTTTCATTATTTAGCATTAAAATAATGTTACGAGTGTATATTTTTTACTATAACTCATAAATAGCAAAAATATAATCATTTTTATCGAGAGTGTCAGAATAGCTCGTTATTTCACTATTGTTATCAAAACACTCTATTGTTGACAATATGTTCACGAGAGGCCTAATTTACATAATATTGACACTAAGGCCCAATTAACATAAAATTGACACTGAGGCCCAATTAACATAAAATTGTCTTATAAGGCCCCAATCTTATCCAAGTTGTTATAAGTTGCCCATTTTATCAAGGATGACCTTAAATGACCCATTATTACTAAAATGTACATAAATGGCCCAATAATGCCAAAGTTGTCGAACTTGGTCCATTTTTACTAAATTTCTCATTTGAGGTCCATTTTTGCAAAAGTGTTCAAAAATAGCCCATGTTTGCTAAATAATTCATTTTCGACCCTTTTTAAATAAAAGTCCCAAATATGACCCAAGTTTATTAAGAAGCCCATTTTCGGCTCATTTTACCTAAAAATGTCATAATTGGTCTATTTTTACCAAAAATGTCACTTTTAACCCATAAATATTGAAAATTACATAAAAGACCCATTTTTATAAAAAATAACTATTTTGGCCCAAAATACCGAAAGTGTAAATAAAAGGCCCATTTTCACTCTATTGACAAATATGGTACCTTTTGATATTTTCTTTAGTTTCTTGATAAATTTTCAACATGTTTAACCTATCCAACATTTTATGAAGTTACATAAGGTAACTTATTTCCCAAAACTTGAAACTTGGATGAAATCTCGAGTTTATGGGTATTTATCAAGATTTTATAACATTTCACAGACCATAACATGAAAGCATACACATGCAAGCATAGATACAAAGATTTTATACAAAAACATTAGCTAGCTTCTTGAAGAGGTTTTCGGTGGTTATATGGTTCTAAGAAGGATGAACACGAAAAGGAAATTTTACGAGGAAGGATTCTTAGTGTAACATGGAACTAAAATGCTTGAATGCTATATAACTTACCAAATATGTAAAGCTTGAAGTGAAATTCTTATTGAATACACCCAAAACCTACGGTTTTTAGGAGCAAGAAGTGAAGAGAGCACTTGAAGGTTAGAGAGGAAGGAAGATGTGTGTGTGTGTGTGAAGTTTGAAATGAATGAGAGAGGATCAACCAAGATAAGGAGGAAAGGGAAAGAGATATTAGGGGTTAATACTTAATGGCTAATACGATTTTCATATATAGATGTATGGGATATAAATTGCATGCTTACATTCAAGATAATGGTGAGGTGTCACAAGCATAATTCCTTATTTTATCCTTTTTTTATTAAAAGAATTTGATCGGGCCTTATGAGGAGGGGAAAAGAAATAGTTTTGGGCTTGAAGACAACCAAGAACATCCAAGGCCCAATGGTGTTTTCAGTTTGCACGTTTTTGGCTTGGATCGGGCCCAAAATGATTTCGACCCAATAATGGGTCCAAAAGAAATGAATTTGGCCCAATAAATATTTTTGGTTCAGTGAGAGTGCCCAAAAGAGATTTTTGATCCATTAGGGCCCTTAATTGGGTTCTCGGCGCAATAACACTAAATGGAAGTGTTTTCGGCCCAAAGGGGCCCAATACTGAATTTCAGGACTTTCAAGGCCCAATTGGAAGTTCAATAGTGAGTTGGGGCCCATTAAGCTTTAAAATAATTCCTTACGGCCCAACAATGGTTGTTTGGCCCAAAAGAGCCAATGTGAGAGGTTATCGACTTATTAGGCCCAATAAGAGAGTTTTGGCCCATATGGGGGTTTGGACCGAGAGAACTTGGGCTAAGAACCAAAGTTGAGTAAATATACTTATTGGGTTATATTTAGAGTTTACACGAGAGAGTCCTGACTAGAAACATAAGTTCTTGAATGTATAAATTCATATTGTATTGAAATTACTTATACTACACATAGAGTTACATGGTTAAACCAAGGAATTAGTTGTACATGGATAGAGATTTCTAGCCCTAAAATGCTGTTTGTGACAATAACTCCATGAAATACTCAACCCATGAATAAACCCAAAAAATGAGCCAAATATGACAATAGACTTCCAAGAAATATTGTATGTCAAATATGTAATGCAAAGTTATGGATGTATTAATCGATCAGAGGAAAAGATAAACAAAATACAAGTTTTTCACTATGTTGTGGTTATGGCAAGGTTGAGTTGCCAGATTCTAAAGAAGCATCGCCAACTTACCTAAATCCTTACCGTTCAACAGTTTCTAAATCCAAATACTTCATGAACAACATTCATTGTTACAATTCAATGTTTTCATTTACCTCATTGGGTGGGAAAGTTGATGCATCCATTAAAAGTGGTAAAGCTCCATACATATTCAGACTTGACGATTAAAATTATCATAGAATTGGAAGTCTATTACCCTCAAATAGATCTAAACCAAAATTCTCTCAGTTATACATATATGACACCGATAATGAGAAGTCAAATAGGCAAACAATTTTTGATTGGATTGTTTTTGTGAGAACCGATTTTCTCACACGGTCAGTTATATGTTGCTTTATCCAGAGTAAAGAGAAAAGAATGATTGAAGTTATTGATTTTAGATAAGATTGATAATTTGACTAATAAAACTTCAAATGTTGTGTTCAATGAAGTATTTAAAAATCTATTTAAAGTGTTATGTTTATTTTACTTATCAAATAAAGTTGTAGTTAATTACCATCCAGAATCATATGCTTTTTTTTTTTTTTTTTAAGTTATTACTTTTTTTTGTCTATATAAAATTTTTAACCGTACCTCTCGTGGTTTCCACAGATTATAACTTAGTATATTTATAAAGAAAAAATCTTCAATAAAGTTCTAATATTTTAGACTAATTTATGGTTTAATCCCAAATTAAATTTTGTTTACAAAAAAGGACAAAACACCGGCTAAAACTTCGAAATAACTCTCCGTGGCTGGTTTTGCAGATTTAGCCGGTATTCTGGTTTTTTTCGTTATTTCGTTAAAATATTGGGACTTTTTCGTTAATTCGGCTAAAATTTCGGAATAACCCTTTTATCAATATATTAAAAATGGTTTGTTTTTTCAATGAATGTATTTATTCATTTTATTATACAACGTTATATATCTAGTTTTGAAGTCACGGAATTTTAAAAAAAAATATCTATACAATCCAAAAAACTAACAAACTTCATAAATTTGTCTGAAAAGGTTTATGGAAGATAGAGTGTTCGATAATTGCAAGATGAAATTCAACAAAATTAGTGTATATTTTCTTTTGATTTCAACATTGGTTGAAGTACTAGAATTACCACAAAACATACGTAATAATATTAATTAGGCATACTCATTTTCTTCTTCATTCTATTGGTTGTTTAAAACCTTAATCCATATGCTCTCTTTCTTCCTTTGTTTCTTTCTATCTACTGCAAAATTGGGAAGGATGCGATAAGGGATGCATACACACATCCCTTAGATAGACCTCTATCTTTCCTTTTTATGTGCGCGCACACGCATAAAAGTTTCTGATCTAGAACATGTGTGTGCATGTGTCAAAGGAGGGTATCAAAGTTCAAGTGAATATGTGTTTTGTGATCTAACCAAGGCAAGACTAGTTGCTACTAAGATGTTGCTACTGTTCTTGGCAAATTGAGGTACAAGTTTAACATGAGTATGTTGAAGTGCATGATTCAACAAGAAATTAATATTAACGAGAAAGGTTATCCATAAATTTAACTATACCCGATTAGTATTATTACATATGTTTTCTGGTTATTCCAATACTTAGACTAATCTTGAAATTAAAAAAAAATAACAATAATTTTGTATGAATTTCATTTTGCAATCATGGAGCACTTTATCGTCCGGTTATGTTTTTCGGGCAAATTTATGAAGGTTGTTAGTTTTTTGCATTGTATAGATACTTTTTCTAAATTTCGTGTCTTTTAAAACTGAATATATAACTTTATATAAAAAGAGATGATTCATTGAAAAACAAACCATTTTTAGTATATTGATAAAAGGGTTATTCCAAAGTTTTAGCTGAATTAACAAAAAAAATTTAATATTTTGACAAATTAACGAAAAAGTCGAAATATTAGCTAAATCTGTGAAACCGACCACGAATGATTAATCCGAAGTTTTAGCTAATATTCTGTCTTTTTTTTGTAAACAAAATTTAATTTGGAATTAAACCGTAAATTGATCTAAAATGTTTGGATTTTATTGAAAATTTCCTTTTTATAAATATAAATATTTTAACTATATACATATATTCTATAGTATATACTGTGCAACGATATTGACCTAGTTTAAGATAATAACAAATAAAATTGACAAGAAACCTCTACGGCTCTACCATTGATCATAAACAAACACCGTGTGGTCGCTCTACTTCTATGACCCTTGAATCGTACTCTATATCTTCGTTAATATCTATAAGTACACATAGAACCCTTCAACTACTCCATCATCATCCCATTTTTCCTCTTCAGTCACAAAATTTACTCATAAATATATTTCACACAGTATTCGCTAATTCAGATCTCTCAAGGCTTCGATCGATTCCGAGCAACAGCAACATTAATTCCAACCAGAAATACCGAAAGCCAAGAAATGTCATTGTGCATGTCGACATTAAATGCTGCTCCATTGATATCTACAAGCCCAACTCTCATTACATCATCTTCTATAGTTAATTCAACTTCTCATGCAGCAATCTCAAAAACAAAGCATCTTGCCTCATGCAGCGTTCATGGCTTAAATAGCAGAAACTTGCAGTATCACCCCAGGTTGATGATTGCACGACGAAAGTTTGTTGTATACGGCAAATTACTCCATTTCCCGGAGTTCCTCTTCCTTCAGGATCACCTTCGGGTTCTATGTAAGCTTTAAAAGAGACCAATTTTCCCAGTAATTTTCGAGTATGTCTTGAATTTAAATAATGTCTTCACTTGTGATCTAGACAAAATTTTGAAGCAACCAAAAGAGAAACACAATATACCTTTTATGTTCTTCTGTATATATATTTGTAGTTAACGTGTAATTTTTCAGGGAAAGTTGGGTTCTGTGTATCGTGTTGACATTCGTCTTACCCTTTATCACGCATAAATGGGGGCCATTGATTGCACTAAAAAGTAAGAAGAGATTGCCGATAATTATTAATGTGAAAACGAGGCTTTCATATTTTATTTTGCTTCTAATTATTTTATGCGTTCTAATTGACGTTATTGTGTATAGATATATAACTAAGACGCTAAATGATATATAACTATCTTTTTAATGCAACAAAACAGATAGAGTGGACACAGCGGTAGATATGGCGGAGCATATAGCGGAAGTTATCGAAGATGTGGCTGGAAAAGTTGATAAGGTGATCGATAACATTACTGATGATCTTCCTGAAGATAGTAAACTCAGAAAAAGGTTGGAAGCCGTTGATGAGCTGATCGAAGGAGTAGCAATGAGTGCTCATATCGCCAATGATATCATCGACAAGGTTTGAATACTGACCTTTTTCAGGCTCTTACATATGAACAGTAGCGTATCTTGACCAAACTCCAACAGGGGTGCACTCACGTAGAAACCCATTTAAATTTACTGGAAAATTAGAACTTTAGTTATTTGATGTTGAAAGGGTCAAAGTTGGGTAACTAGTAATATACGTAGAATTTAAATATTGAAATTACAAAGATTAAATATTGAAAATGTCAATGGCGCAGGTGGAAGAAGCTGAAGATAAACTAGAGTCCTTGATTCTTTCCCATGCAAACGAGGAAAAGGTTTCCATGCAAGTTGTGGAAAAGGATGAAGTTTCTTCCCATAAAGATTGAATAGTTATTAAAATTCGAGAAAAAGACAAAAGATGGTCAACGTATTAAAGTTTGACCTATGATTAGGAGAAGCATTTAAAATCAATTTGTTCATTTATTTGTAATATATCTTCTTACCGTTAACATACTATTTGCTTTGAATTAGTCCATTCTAATATTTCATCAAATACGGATTGTATCCTTTTGAAATGCTATAGTCGCGATGACACCTAAAATATATATCAAATCTAAACTTACGTAACCACGTACAAACAACCATGTGTCTCGACTTATTTACACTAAATTTTATGAAAATGTTATGAGTAAAGCAACAATACAATTTATAGAACACATGAAACATTTTACTCTTATTAGTTGCGTTTTTATGTATTGCTGTTGTTGTAATCTGTTTCCCAATTAACTTGATGTTAATTTAAGTTTATTTTGCTTTGTTGTAGAGGCTTATTTACTCCGTTTGTATCTTTTATGTTAATATATTCAACCGCTTAAGCAAATGTTTTGACCTTTGGTATAGTGCATTATTCATCTCTAATAACCAAGTGGATTTGGGTGTTGCTTATGTACATGGGAAAGTTATTGGATTTAAATAAAAAATACACACATAAATGTCATGTCATCCACTATTTCTCACATGTTATTAATCTTGGGCCAACTCAACAATTTTTTAATCATAGTCAACAATTAACCCACAAAAACCCGTTACCACTAGGTGGGATGTGAAGAAAATATATATTTTATTGATGTTTTTTATACAAAAACTTCAATTAAATGATATTTTTGTTGAACATGCAAACCTTCAATGTTTTTTTTGAACGATTTTAAAACATTTTTACCCTGATAGATCATTTTCTCAAAGAACACTAACTATTTTTAGCAATTAAAAAGCAATCCTCTCAAGGAGAACAATTTTGTTATTTTAACAACAAAAATATCATACAAAGATAGTATATTACATTTAATTTTATTCATGAATAACCTGCAATAAAAACTATTGAGACAATTGGTATTATACAATTTTAAAACATTATCATATAATTCAAAACAAACAATGTTTATATCAACGTATTATAAGATTTATTATATAAGAACTAACAGTAATATCATTGATTTAAAAACATATATTTGTATTTTACGCAACACGAGGTATTTGCCTAGTGTTGACATAAAGCTAGCTATTTCAAGTCCTATTTAAGTATTAAAATGGGGGTTAATCTTTCGGTTCATAAAAAAAATTAAGTATTAAAAAAGTTAAATATTTTAAATGATAGTAATGTAAAGAATGAAAAAGAGAAAAAAAAAAGTTAATTCATAATTTTGGTATGTGACGCGGCAGCCAACAAATCTACTATAATAAATGAAGGTTTTTTTGCCACATGTCATCTACTCATTTATTTGGACACATGTCATTTTGTAGAATTTTTAAATTATCTATTTTCCAATTGTCAATTTATTGTATTTTTTATTTTATTAAATTAAAATTCCACATTTAATATTTAAGGTAATATATATGTAATGTATTTATTAAAAATGATGTATATATGTAATGTATTCAATACATTAAAGGCTCATTAATTTTAATACAAAATTTTTCTCATTTTTCTTACAAATTCAAAATTTTCAAATTGTTAAAATTTCATATTATTTTTTTTAAATAAACTCATGTAATAAATGGATCTCACACCTAGTGTAGAATAAAAAATGATGGATCTTTTCGTATGTCTTCAATTAAATGAGGGGCATAATTGGTAATGTATATAAATTTTAGTGGAAAAATCAGCTTCCCAATCATGGGAGTTGTTGAGACAAACATGTCATCACTAAGATAATGTTTTGTATGTAGAAAATAAAGGAGTAAATGAAATTAAGGATTATATGACATATTGTAATTATAAAAATGATTATAATTGAGATAACCACATCAAAAAGCTTGTCAGGATATAACTAACCCATTGCTCATATCATTAAAAACTTCTTAGGGTAAATTACACCATTCATCCCTCGTGCAGGTGCCAAAAAGCATGTATAGTCCCTATTTTCAAAAATTAACTCGGACCGTCCGTATGTTTGTTTTTTCTTGCATGCTTAGTCCCTATTGACATAAAATGACTATTTTACCCTTAATAATTTCTTTTTTCATTTTTTTATTTCTTTATCAGTTTTTATATTTTTTTAATAATTAGACTTAATATCAGAGCTTCCACTGTCGCAACACCTCTTCCTTTCTCTCAACTTCTGTTGCTCCACTGGAACAAACCTAAATTGTATGGAATAAACCCAAAGCAAACCTTAAATTGAAGTGACATCACCTGGATTAAACCCTAACGAAACCGGTTTCAGGTTAAATCCCCTTGAACAAACCATCCACATCGATGCTCAATTTGTGTATGCCGGTGCGACAGAAATAGAATAGTCGATGTCGATAATCACCCACATGAAGGCGAAAAATAGTTAGTGTTGGTCCCCTTAGGTCTATTTTGTGGTTTGGAACTCAGTCTCTCCGATCTCTCCTCTTCTTAGTTCGATTTGTGGTTTGGAAATTTACAATGCTTTAATCATTGTCACTGTGAATAACAAAGCTTAAGGCTATGGCCTTGGAGATTTGGTTCAAAAGAGAGAAGGATAAATAAAAGGGTGAGACAAGAGATGATAATGTAGGCAGTGATGAAGATGTTATCTCCGGAAAGGGAGAGAGGAGGTTGTTTCTGACGGAGATGGAGTTTGTTTCCAATGGCTTCTACAAGCACCCAAACCCACCGATGGGGTAGTAGGGTTTGTCTGTAGCTTTAAGTTATGGGGTATGATTTTAGGATATAGGATGGTGGATCAGAGAGAGTTTAGGAGGTGATGACGATGTGAGTTGTTCAGCGAAGTTGAGGGAGATTGAGAGTCTGTGTCTATGTGCTGGTGTTGATCTTTCCGAGAAGAGAAAAGAGTTTCTTGATGCACACCGGAGGAAGATGAGGTCAGTGAGGTGATGTTCGTCGGAGGAAGATGAAATCTGTGGGTGTTGGTGGCGTTTCGGTGTTCTGATTTGAATCTTTTTTCTTCTCTGGGACATGTGGGTTCTCGACCTTCTTCTCCAGCGACGTTTAGAGCGGTGGTGGTTGGAGGTGAATAGAGCGGTGATGGTGGGAACCTCGGAGGTGAAAAGAGTGGTGGTGGTCCAGTGAATTGTGATTTAAAGGGAATGTAGAAGGAAAAGGGGAAAGGGAAAGGGAAGGGGTGGGGTATTTTATTTTATTTTCTTTATATTTTAATACAAATTTAATTATAATTTAATTAAAATTAAAATAGTTATGGGGTATGATTTTGGGAGATAGGATGGTGGATCAGAGAGAGTGTAGGAGGTGATGACGATGTGAGTTGTTCAACGAAGTTGAGGGAGATTGAGAGTCTGTGTGTATGTGCTGGTGTTGATCTTTCAGAGAAGAGAAAAGAGTTTCTTGATGCACACCGGAGGAAGATGAGGTCAGTGAGGTGATGTTCGTCGGAGGAAGATGAAGTCTGTGGGTGTTGGTGGTGTTTCGGTGTTCCGATTTGAATCTTTTTTCTTCTTTGGGACATGTGGGTTCTCGATCTTCTTCTCCGGCGACATTTAGAGCGGTGGTGGTTGGAGGTGAATAGAGCGGTGATGGTGGGAACCTCGGAGGTGAAAAGAGTGGTGGTGGTCCGGTGAATTGTGATTTAAAGGGAATGTAGAAGGAAAAGGGGAAAAGGAAGGGGTGAGGTATTTTATTTTATTTTCTTTTTATTTCAATACAAATTTAATTATAATTTAATTAAAATTAAAATAGTGAGGGCAAAATAGTCTTTTTATGTCTTCCAAAGGATACAACATGCAAATTCAAACTAATAAGGGATGAAGCGTGCAATTTTTAGATATATGAGGGACGGTTCGAGTTAATTTTTGAAAATAGGTACTAAACATGCTCTTTGGTACCAGTACGAGGGACGAATGGTGTAATTTACCCAACTTCTTAATAACACAACGCGTTATTACCATAACTTATGAACTACAAAAAAAAGTCTACAACAACATAAATGTTTTAAAAGAAACTAACTCATTAGCTCTTGTTATTATCATAACTTACGAACTACAAAAATAAAGTCTAAAACAACATAAATGTTTTAAAAGAAAATTAACAAATTAGCTCTTAACATTGCTTCATTCTCCTCTTTCTTAGGCGCTCTGCGATTATAAAGGATAGCTCTAGTGATTGAGAGGCATTAAGCCTTGGGTCACAGTGTGTGTGGTATCGCGATCCAAGGTCATCAAAGGTGACTGTTGTGGATCCAGATCCACCAATGCACTCCGTCACATTTTGTCCCGTCATTTCAAGATGAACTCCTCCCGGGTGGCTTCCTTCTTGCTCATGCACATCAAAAAATGCTTTCACTTCCGCCTAGTACAAACAACATTCCATGTATTATTATTATGTTCTTAGCTTAATACAGAAAAAACGACTTAGACAGTTAGACATAAAATAACAAATATGTAAAATGACAGACTAGCTGATAAAAAATAACGTTTGGTAAAACTAGCTGATAAGTTAACTGAAAATATGTAAAATGACATAAAACGACATTTAAAAGATGAATAAGCTCGTTGAATCGGTAGTCGGAGTAGCTTTTTGAAAAGTTAGCGTACTTATGTTTTTGTTTATTCTAATAATAGGAATATATAAACCAATAATAGCAATTTACTTACAATTACTTACCAACGATAGCAACATACTTAATTTTTTACTGATAGTAAGTGTTATGTAAAATGAAAACTTTAAGCATTTTACAAGTTTTATATATAAAAGTATGTACGTTGCTATTACAAACAAAAGAATATAAGCAAATTGCTATTATGCGGAAAAAAAGTACATTGCCTATATTGGTAATGGTAGCAAGAGTAAAGTATGTTGCTATATCCCACAATTTATCTTTTTTTAAACATCATTTATCCGGGGGCCAAATTATAAATTGCAATGTTAATAAAGAATGTAAATACACAAGTAGCAGGATGAGAATGTTACCCTAATAGCATCGAAGGGTCGAGTCTTGAGACCACACGGAGCCTTGATGGTGTTGCCATGCATAGGATCTGAGACCCACGTCACGATTTGACCCGCTCTTCTAACCGCTCTAATAAGATGGGGAAGTTTCACTCTCATGTTCTCCGCTCCCATTCTTGTTATTATTGTAATCCTTCCCGCTTTGTTCTCGGGATTCAAAATATCGATGAGCTTCACCAACTCACTTGGATCCATCTTGTCACTCACCTTTTCAAAAACATATGTTAGCTCTCTATAATCACAATGTGTCTGATACTAAATGGTTGTTTCCATTCCGTAACAGACACATACCTTGTGTCTGATACAACTGTGTTAACAGTTGTATCAAACACATGTACCATGTGTCTGATACAACCGTGTTAACAGTTGTATCAGACACATACATCGTGCCTGTTACAAATGTTGGATCAGGCAAAATGTATGTGAAGATCAATACCTTAATTCCGAGGGGATTTGCGATTCCTCTTAGAAACTCGACATGGGCACCGTCCAACTGACGAGTTCGTTCCCCGGCCCAGAGGAAATGGGCAGAGCAATCATAGTACAAACCAGAAGTTGAATCCAAACGAGTAAGAGATTGCTCATATGGCAAGTGCAAGCACTCGTGTGATGTCCAGAAATCGGTGGTGGTCATGATAGGATGGTCAATGGTCAAACCGGCTGCAGACATGAACCCGAGTGCCTCATCAACTCTGCTAGCCAGCTCTCGGTATCTACCATGCAACAATTCAAAAAACCACATCATAATTATATAACTTTAAAAAAGTATTTGAGAAAATGATTGCACACTTGGGAAAATCAAAAGAAGAAAGATATAAGAGGACAAAGTTTTAAAAGGTTAGGACTTAAAGGGAAAGTCTAGCTTCCTTATTTTCATGCAAAAAACTAAACACAACGCCCTAATCATAAAGGGGCAAATAAGTAAATTCAACATACCTGTCACCCTGTTCGCTATGTTCCGAAAAATCAAGATTCCATTGATTAACCCTTTGCATAGCTGCATAACCTCCTGTAGCAAAAGCCCTCAAAAGATTAAGAGTAGCTGCAGATTGGGTGTATGCTCTAATCAATCTTTGAGGATCCGGTGTTCGGGACTTCAAATCAAATGCATCACCATTAACATTATCCCCTCGATAACTTGGTAATTTCACACCATCTTTCTCCTCAAAAGGATCCGATCTAGGCTTTGCAAATTGTCCAGCCATTCTTCCTACCTGGTTCCTCAAATTCCCACAATCCAAAATCAATTTCAGTGTAATTCATAATCGCATGTGTTCATACTTATGTTATATTAAATCAAGCATAAGGCTTTACTACACTCCACAAAGATCATAGCTTTAAAATTTTAAAAATTCAGATATGTTGGCATGTTTTCATGATTCAGATTTCATGTGATAGCCAAAAGTATTTAAAAGTGTCGATGAGTAAGCTTAAAATCACACACGAAAAAGAGGTAAAATGAATGATGGAATTTAAAAAATAAAAAAATGTGACCTTGATAACGGGCATTTGACCACCGAACATCAAAACGGCACCCATTTGAAGAATGACTCTGAACGTATCACGAATGTTGTTAGCATTAAACTCCTTGAAACTCTCAGCACAATCACCACCTTGTAAAAGAAACGCATTTCCCATAGCAGCCTCACCCAGCCGCTCCTCAAGGTTACGTGCCTCCCCGGCAAACACGATCGGCGGGAAGGAATCCAGGGTTTGGAGCACCGATTCGAGCTCGATTTGATTCGGGTATTCCGGAAGTTGTAGGGCCTTTTTGGTTCTCCAGCTTTCGATGGTCCATTGTTTGGGTTTTTTTGTATCTGAGGCGGTTGTTGGGGTGGTGGTGGCGGTAGCGGCGGTGGCTGGGGAAGCAGGTTTTGAAGATGATTTGTCAATGGGGGTCTTCGATGGATCGGGAGAATGGACGGCGAAGATTGGTTGGATGGATCTGGTGGTGGCGGTGGGTGCGGCGGAGGTGGTGGTGGAGGAGACAGATTTCAGTTGTGGTGGGAGAGAGTGGATTTGGAAAGATTTTGTGAGGAGGTTAGAGTTACTAGCAAGAGCCATTTTGATGAAAATGTATGCGTTCTTGGTTTGTGTTTGTAGGTGGGAGTGGAGGGACTGAATGGGGGCAATTAATAGGGAGGAGGGAATCGGTGGCAGGTTTGGTGGAAGCTCTCGACGAGGGGGGTTAGGTAGGTAAGGGTATTCCGGTAAAATTGTAAATTTTAAATCATATTGTTTTCGTGAAAGAACAAAAAAACGAGATTATTTATTTATTTATTTTTTGTTTTTTTGCAAAAGTATGGATATTGGTAAAACGGTCGGTCGAAATATATAACTATTAACTAGAAGTTGGTGATGTACATGTTAATCTTTCCATGTTCATCACTGGTTTGGAGCATGTTTAAATCACTAAATTGTAAACTAGTTTTGTGTATGTTTAAAACACTAAATTGTAAATTATTAGCTGATGTGCTTTTTATTTTAGTTGTAGGTGAGTTATGGAAGATATATGAACTCAAATCTAACCATGAACTCGAAAATGACCACACTTCCCTGCTAGTGGTTATTCTTGGTCGTGCATAACCTAATCATTAGGTTTGGCAATTAGGTTGGGTTTGGGTTGGCGGGTCACGGGTTGGTGAGTTAGCGGATCAGAAAACGTAACTCAACTCAACCCATATACTTAAACGGGTTAACAAGTTAATGTGTCAAACTCAACCCATATAACCCGTTTAATAAATAAGCAATGTATTTTAAAAAATATGGGTTTTCAACACAAATTCTTAAAACGATTAAAGTAATTAACATAAAAAAAAGGTTTTCAACAACAATTTATAAAGTCAATAACATCAAACTAAAAATGAAAAATGAAAACATTCATAGAAAATGGATGTGTTCTTCGTTCGTGACTTGTAAGTATCTAAAAATAACGACATGTATTTTTTCTTTTTCTTTTTTATTAACGAACCGCAAACGCAGATTAGTCACATACGAATACGGAAGGAATACTTGTGGAAATCAATTTTCATTAATAATTAAATATATCATTTTTTAAATGTAATATATATATATATATATATATATATATATATATATATATATATACACGGGTTGACGGGTTGACCGCGAACCAAAACAGATAACCCAATCCAACCCATGAAATAAACAGGTTGGTGGGTTGGCGGGTCAAAAATGCCAACCCAAACCTGTCTATTTTCGGGTTGGATCAGTGTCGGGTTACGAGTTGGATCGAGAGTTATCACCCCTAATAATCACGCATTTCATATAATAAGGAAGTCTGTGAGACCTTAGCTAATCAACACAAGAAGCTAGATGGAATTAAATCATCCTCGAAACACTACACATGAATTAACTATAATTTAGCAATTAAGGTATACTTCTTAACTTTCATCTC